CCTTCCTTCCTTCCTTCCTTCCCTCCCTCCCTCCCTCCCTCCGTCCCTCCCTTTCTTCCTTCCTTTCCTCCTTCCCTCCCTCCCTCTCTTCCTTCCTTCCTTCCTTTCTTTCTTCCTTTCTTCCTTCCTCCCTTCCCTCCCTTCGTTCCTTTCCTCCTTCTCTCCCTCCCTCCCTTCCTTCCTTCCTTCCTTCCTTCCTATACAACTGGAAAATCAATTCTTACTCTAAAGTTTAAACCAGTGGTTTACAAACGTTGCTGGGCCCCCCCTTTGGGAACTGCACCCCCAATCAAAGAAAAACCTAAAAAAACAGAACACACACATATTTTCTTTTCAGACTTGTTTGTTTCACACATTTGAAATGTAACTGTTTTTACGCACTTTATGCTAGCATTCCCAACTTTGGTCAGTTGGCAGGAATGAGACTTGAGTGATGGTCTTGTGGTTTAAAAAGAGCTCTGAACATCATCTGCAGACACCTTTCCATTCTAGAATTAGATTTCCTGGTTGAAGACCACAAATATGTAATTAGACAGACAGTTTGTGAAAATGAACGTTGTCTTTATTTATCGTAAAAGTGCGACGTTAATTTAATCCGCTGCTCATTGTCAGATGGGGAAGCAGAGCGTTCTGGTGCACAAAGAGGACACTGACGATGTCATCACAACAAACCTTGTCTGAATATCTACAGCTGCCATAAATGTCCACTGTGGGCTCAGAAAAATAGAGAGAATGCTAATGACGATAAATATCGAATGTTTTTTGTTTTTAATGAGAAAGAAAAACCTGAAGCGATAGTAAAATAGAACAAGAGAGAGCTTGAAAGGAAAAAAAAATAAACAAAGGAGAAACAGAATAGCGGGTAGGAAAATAAGGACCGGAAGAGAGAAAATATTTCAATGAGAAAAGAAAGTGTTCAAAGCAACAAATGAACATTTGAAAACAATGACAGAAAGAAAGGAGGTGAAGAAAAAGAAGCGTGAGAGTGAGACGTCGTACACAAAAAGGAAAAAAAAAAAATGGATTCAGAGAGGAAGAAGTAAGCAAAGATACAGAGGAGCTAAAGAAGAATGGACCGGAAAAGGAATCACAAAAGACAGAAAGAAGAAATTAAGAGTCAGAGTTAAAGAGAAAAATTTAAAAAAAAAGAGTTAGGCTGATCATATTTTTAAAAGGCGCAAGCAATTAAACATCCACCATCAGAATAAAATGTCCAAGCATCTGTACATTTCAGAAATATTTTCCTCTTTTTATTCCAAGAAAAAAAAAAGGTCTGTTTATACCAAAAATAAGAAAGAAAAAAAACCAACTTGTTATTAATAACAACCACAGTAATAATTAATCAATAATTAAGGGGATAAGTATGACAATTTCTTATTTTTGAATCTTTCTAAACATGTTTATTTGAACTTTTCTCCACAATGATATCAGCTGTGGTCAATTAAACATGCAGCTAATTGAGTCCCATGATGATAAAGTTGTTAAGGATGGAGAAAGAAGACAGAGACAAAGGAGGGGGGGGGGGGGGGGGAAGAGGGGTCAGGGTAGAGGCAGTCATGTCACAGACGATGGACAGCAAATGGAAAGTAAATGTGTGTTGGTCGAACAAAAGAAGTACAAGCGGCGCAAAGAGGTGAAGCGGAAATGGAGTAATTCGCTGTGTGCTAACTGGAATTACAGCTCGTTTTATAGCTTCAACACGTGCTTTAACATCGGGTGCTGGCCTTTTGAGCAAACCTTCTTTTCCAAGACGGCTACATAGGCGACTGAGCTAGTTTTATCATTTTTACAACTCGGGTCAAGAAATACTACCAATACTTGCGCTGGTCCTAGCATGGTTATTAAGACACTTCCACATTAGCTCGCGTTTTCTTCCGATTTTAAAATTTTTTTGACAAGATTTAATCCTAAAATGGTGGCCAGCAGAAATAATGATCGATCAGCAAGAAAAAAAAAACAAAATGTCACCTGTTGTTTGCTGTAAGACTTAGATAGAGTGCATTCTTAAGTCTTGTGATGGGTTAAGGTTAGCATTCCACATGAAAATGGTTGCTCGTTGTTACAGTAAAATGTAAGTTAACATTAATAAATAATACTTTGCTATGTGTGTCCAGCAATACAGCCTTGGGGGGAGAGGGGGTATTTTTTAGAAACTAAACAACAGCTAACAGCATGCTCACTATACGTAAAGAAATTCTTGTTAAAGTGGTTTCATTAAGTCAATTCTCGTAGCCATGCTGCTAACATAGCATAGATACCGAAAAAGATTAGGGCCACATGGGGAAATTCAACTTTGAAAATGTTCTTAGAATTCTGCTATTAAAGGTAGGAGTTCTTACTTCTTCTTTTTTTTTTTTTTTTTAAAGAAGTCCACTTAAAAAGAAGAAAATAAAGATTCTTACTCAGACTCATGAGAAAAAGAGACAATTTACATTAGCCACTTGGATTTGACTTTTTTTTTTTCTCCCTGATTTTTAAAATGTCAGAACAGTAGATGAGAGCCATGGATTTTTTTTTTTCCGTTTGAAATGTTTTTTAAATTCTGAGATCAAAGTAATTTAATCTATGTTTGTACATTTTATTTAAAAAATAAGACTAAAAAAAAAAAATCGCAATTCTGACTTTAGTCTCAAAATTTTGACTTTTTTTTTTTTTTTTTAAAAAAAAGAAAAATTGTATTTTCTGAAAAAATGTGACATTTTTCCTTAGGATTCTAAGACAAAAGTCAGCACTCTAAAAAACTCCTTTGACCACAATGCTCTTTCGAACAAAGCTAAAATAGCTACAAACAGAATCATCAGTGCAGTTCAGGAAAAAACAAACAAAACAAAAAAAAAAAAAACACACATCAACAATGAAAAGCTGCCAAACATCAGAACTGATCCCAAATCAGCAAGAAGATGGAGCTCCGTCTGGAAGATGATGAGATTGTGTGACACTTGAAGCAGGGAATTATGGGAAGAGGAAAGAAACGAGAAAGAAAAGAAAGGAAGGAGGAGTCAACAGGAGGAGAGATGAAGAAACAAAAGTGACTTTCTGTGTTTAAATGTTCGTTTTTCTCCTGGTCGACCTTCTTTATTAGGTCTGAAGTGGGCGGAGACTGAGAGTGAAGAAGGCAGGGTTGCATGTCTGTGTATGTTTGTTTGGGCTGATGCTGTTGACTATGCGTCTATCAGCTGCTGTCAGGTGATGGTTCCCTCTCCCGGTGCATGGTGGTG